AAGTTGGTTGGGATTTAATCATTTGAATCTCCCTTGAACTGCTCCAAGGTCTTTTAAGTCTTGTTACAACACATTTCTAAGGATTTCACAAGGTCATGGCTCAGGGTTACACAATGTTGCATGATCCCACTAGCACTAGTTTTTTTTTTTTTTTTAATTAAGTACTTAAAACTTTTCATGAAAGCATTGAGATCGATAAGTGACTTTAAGAGATTCAATCAGTTCAACCCACTAAGTTAAACTCACTGATGTCATAATCTCTCATTTCTCACAGCTTTCCTTACTACGAGTTCTGTTTATCTAAAATTTCACATAGTTCTGTGTAGGTTGCTAGATTTAGTAAAAAATATATAGGACAGCCAGTTAAATTGGAATTCAATAAACAACAAAATTTTTTTAGTCTAAGTATGTCTCGAATATTGCATGATGACTAAAAAAATTTGTTATCTAAAATTCGAAAGTAACTAGGCATATTGTATCTTATATGACAACTAATTCTGTGGCACTGAAGAGTTACTCAATAGGATCACAGACTATCGTTTTCCTTTACAACAGGAAATAGTAAATTAGGAGCAAAAGTCCACAATGGCTACAAAATTATGACAGATGGTTAGAGCTGAAGGGGACCTTAGAAAAGGCTAATCCGATGTTTTCACTTTGATGATGAGGGGCAGACCGTCTAATGAAGGTGAGCGGCGAGTGGGTTGGTACATGACATCAAATTACAAATGACGAAGGATTCCTGATTTTCATTTGTTTTAAAAAGTATTTCTAAAAAGCCACAAGAGAAAAGAACAAGGAAATTTCATGGCTCCAAACAATATTCACATACCTGTCACCTACATAGTCATTTCACATTAGTAAATAGGAACCAATAAAGCAAAACAACAAAATGTAACCAGTTAGAGATCATTCTTGTAAATGGGATAATTTAAGTAAATAAGATTATATATGTAAGCCACCTAGTGCAGAGCCTAGCCTATAACAGGACTTCTAAATGTAGCTCCCTCTTCTTCCCTGCCCCTGTTTGCTCCATCTAAAACACTAAAACATTACACTCACTTCCTTTCTGGTCTCATTGTCTCTCAAACTCTATAAATTATCCTCAACTTTGATATCAAAATTTAGATACAGAAATAGAAGAGCTCAAATTAAGGACAGGTGTAAAGGTTGTCAAATACTAAGCATTCCTAATATATATCCAAAACATTCCAATTAATACACACTGCAAGATGTTCACTCTCATTAGATATAAAAATGCCAATTAAAACATTCCTAAATCAAATCATCTATCAGTTCACCAAAAAAATTTGTGATTCATTCAGAACAAAGCACTGTGTAATAAATACAGAGTATGTACAAAGGGTATAAGTAAACTAAGAACTCAGAAGTGCGAAGTATGGAAGGCATCACTTCAAGGGGGGGTGTTTAAAAAACTGTAGAAGCAGCAAGCAGCGTTTGAGCTAGAATTTGAAAGATATACAGTATTGCGATTGGTGAAGGTAAGAAGTTAAGAAAACTTCGAATAGAAAGGGCTTCGTGAACAAGGCATGAAGGCAGAGAAAAAATCCATAACAATCTAGCCCCAATTTTCCAACTCTATCTTTCTTCCTGTCACGCCTCTACGGGGGCACAGATGCCAATCAAACATCATTTTCAAAATACAGTGCAAGATTCCTAGCTCTTAAGCTCTGTTCCGGACATGCCCTCCTGTTGTCCGAGACCGCCACGACTCTGCCACCTTCACTTCACCTGCACAACACAGAGTAAGAAACGATGCCAGCTTAACCAACGTCCGCCTTTCCCTCCGCTCCTTTTCCCTTCCTTACTTCATTCCCTTCTCTCCCCTTCGAATCTTCCTGAGCAAACTGAATAATATAATTTCTATTCACTGACTAACGTATAACGCAGGTAAGTAGAAGATTCTCTTTAAAAACAAAGTTTCCACTTAGATCTGTGAAACATTCCCTCCATTCCCTTTCTCCTCTCTTTCCCCCGACCTTTACTTCCCACTCCACACTCTCTTTTCCTCTCTGAGTTTCTTATTCTACATTTAAAAAGTTCCCCTCCCACTCTGGATTTTAAAAATAAATAGAAGTGATGGCAGGGATGGCCTGTCCTTTCACCTGTTTGAGACTTTCCTGCACGAATGAGCACAAGGGCTTTGTGTTCTTGCTAGGAAGGGGAGAAGGAGCAAACGAGGAATAGAAGGGGAATTTGAAAAGGAATGGATGATAAAATCAGGTGTCTGGCCTGTCTAGGGAGGAACAAGGGTTGGAAACAATCTAATAAGCCATAAAACCCAAATTTCTTTATTTTAATCATTAAATCTGTAAGAATAGGCCCTTAAAAATAGCACATGTACCTGTATATTAAATATTTTTCTTTTCTTGGCCAAGTTATAAATTACCTCATAGATAAGTGGAAGTTACCTAATAATCAAGTCTTTAAACACAATGGAGCAATAAATCATTAATTAGAAATGACATTCACCAGAAATGATCTTGATCATTGTAGTTTTAAAGGCTTATTTATATTTTGATCCCTAAGGGAATCAAAAAAAGTAAGTAAAATGTAACAAACTATTGAAACAGCACATAAATCACATGACCAGCTTAAAACATTCTGCCCTGTCACAGCAGATCAGTGATATTAATACAACCCTTGAATTATTCTATAGAGACAGCACTGTACATGTGCCACCTGTGTCTTCCAGCTGCACCAGGAACCAAAGTCTCACCCCTCCTGGAAGAACCAAAGGACTGAGCCATGACTGGAACCTGAACAAGGGGACACTTTCAGAAGTCAAGGGTCCGCTGTCCAGGAAGATCCAGTGCTGAAGTCCCTTACCGTAATAGCCAAGTTCCAACATCATCCAATTTAAACGTTCCCACCAGCACTTCCACATGCCTATTCCCCCTGACTCCCTACAACCCTCTGATGGTAAGCCGTCAGGGAGGTCAGGCTTTAAGTGATACAGCTTCCCGTTCTCCTTGCTTATTAGCGTAATACAAATAAAGTGACTCTAATTTCTCCACTGTAAAACTGTGTTCAGTGTTTGGTTCCGTGTGTGGGGAGCGGGGCACATACAAATTCTCTTCCAAAAGTTACACTATTAACTAGGAATCTAGACTCAGAGTTTCAAGCATAGTAAATACACCTTTTGAATATTAGTGTATAAAGCAATATGATAAATGGCTACATTACAGAAATCACTAAAATATCTATAGAATTAACTGGGGAGGAATCCTTAATGTTAAATAGATAGGTATTTTTACTAAAATTTCTAGCGACAGCATCATCCTTGGACTCAAAAAATGCTGTCATCTCCAACAAATGAGATGAAAGTAAAAATGATAAGCCCCAGGACTGGAAGATAAACTAAAAAACTAGCTCTGATAATTACAAAGACATGAATACTGAAGTGAATGTAAAAATCTTGCATATACTGTTTTATGAAATATTATGATGTGAATTATAAGACATTTGGCCGTCATCCATGGTTCCTGAACTCACAGCTACCAAAACCCTTGGAACTTCCTATATGTGGAGTGATAAAGGTGTCTTTTTGTTATGTTAATTAGGTGACTTTTAGACTCCACTCAAAAGTAGGGGCTGGTTGCCAGGAAAACCAATCATGTGATTAGAGGTTTGGAACTTTCTGTCCCAGCCCGACCTGACCCCCACCTCCTTAGAAACCTAGGAGGTCAGAGTTGGTCTTCCTTGTTGAGGAACCAGAGTGTTTCTACCTGGCAGGCCTCAAGCTTCCTAAGGACAGAGCCTCCTTTGTTTGGGACCTCACCCTATGTATTTCATCTGGCTGTTGATTCCTATCCTTTGTAATAAATCAGTAACCTAGTGTGAAAACAGGTTTTCCTAAGTTCTGTAAGGCATTCTGGCAAATTAATCAGACCAAAGAAGGGGTTTGTGGGAACCTCTGATTTATCGCCAGTGAGTCAGTACAGATGACAGATTAAATGAATTTGGGATTGGCATTCTGAGTTGGACAGGGTCGCTGGAACCTCCAACCTGTAGCCAGATGGTCAGAAGCACAGGTAAACTGGGCTTGCTTCTGGCATCTAATGAGGAGGGCAGTCTTGTGGGACTGGGCCCTTTACCTGTGGAATATGACTTTATCTCCAGGTAAGTAGTATCAGAATTGAGCTGAATTCTTGGACACCTTTGCCAGCATTCTAGAGTTTCCTGGAATTGCTTGTGAGTGTTGGGAGAACCCATGTCCCCAAGTTAGAATTAGGTCCAGGGACCCCATTCAAATATGATTACGAAAATAGGAAAATCTGTTATTCTGTATAAATGCATATGTGCATGCATGCACACATAAATAACTAAATAAAAACAGGGCTATTTCAACTGCATTATTGGATATTTATACATTAATGCTGGTCAATAAATTTTGGAAGTAAACTTATTACGAAAAAGGGAGACTGCCTTGGATCTGAAGTCAACTTCCATTTAGGCACACACAGTATTAGATTATAATTTTTAAAAA